AGTAACTATGCAGGACTAATGATTAGTACTACATTAACACTTCAGGTACTACTATTGACTAATAAAAACTAAGCTTAACTAATCAGTAAGTAATCTCAAATTTAGGAGTATAGCCTCATTAATAACTATTATTAATGAACATAAATATAAAGTTGTAAAGAATAAAGAATATAAAGAACATTATTGTGAATCTTCAGTATCTGACACGTAATCAGTTGTCATTTTTACTCTGAATACAGTCATAAAATGCATCACTAATTACTCAAGTGTTACTTAGTCACTATGCAGTGATCTACTAGTGATCTTTTTCAACATCTTTTTCATTTCAAAATAATGGTCCAGATCACTAGTAGTCTTTGAAGATTGTCTTTTTTACTCAGAACATGATCATAAAATGCATCACTAATTACTCAAGTACAGTCAATCTTCAAGAACTACTAGTGATCTGGACCATTATTTTAAAGTGAAAAATATGTTTTTCACTTTAAAATAATGGTCCTAACATCTTTTTCACTTTAAAATAATGGTCTAGATCACTAGTAGTTCCTGTATAGTGACTATGTAACACTTGAATAATTAGCAATGCATTTTATGACCACGTTGAGAGTAAAAAAACACAATTGCTAACGTCTCAGACACATTAATGTTGTTATTTGTAATTAATTAGTAATTATTTATTCTTTGTCATAATTACCTCTTAGTTCTTAATTATTCTAATCTCATTAAGTAAATGATTGATTACCTAATAAGGAACTATCTAGTCCTAAATTTGAGATTACTTACTGATTAGTTAAGCTTGTTTCCATATCAGTTAATAGTAGTAGCTGAAGTGTTAATGTAGAACTACTAATTAGTCCTGCATTACCTCCTGCATAGTTACAGTACTTATTTACGGACCATTATTCTAAAGTGTTGGCTATACACTGTTTGTTAGTTGGCCGGAGGAGAACTGTTTTGTAAAACGCTCTATATAAATAAAGGTGATTTGACTTGACTTGCGACAACTCTTTCAGTTTTTATCTAAAAAACACTTTTTCCAAAGAGTTTGAGTTAGATAAGTTATTATAATAGTAATTAAGCTTAACAAGGCTGTAAAAGCGGACTGAGCTTACGTAAAAATGTTTAATCTCCCCTACTGCCTCTGTAGTCCCATTTAGCCACTTGTTAGCAACTGCCTTTTTCACACGAGTGGGGTAATACTGATGTATTTTATGTTGTAGAATTACTGCATGTAGAACTCCGTATTTGGCCTACAAATTTACGTCATACCTGCACCTCTCTATAGTCTTTAATCATTGTCATTTCATGGATTGACCAAGTAATGTTAAGCTGTTAGTTTTTCTTTGTATATTGTTTTTGGTTATCTTCACCTTGTTTATTTGAATAAAAGCTGCGATTAAATCAACACCTTTACACACAGTTTTAAACTATAGCATTTACAGTACATGTACAACTTTCTTTGAAAATATAAGTTAACAGTTCAGTTGTTCATAACTGGCTTTATTAGCCTACAAAGTTTGTACCAGCACTAAACTGTCCGATCAGAGTCATATGACTCCATTGGCTATGGAATGCAATAATGAAAGTGCTTAATTAGCTCAAGTATGTATGTGGGCAGAGGGTTTACAATTAGATTTAGTTAAGCCAGTTGTTGCTCTATTTCTTAGATTAACTCTCATTTATATCTCAAGGGTCTACACAGTCAGATAACCTCAAATGCCTTTATATGCTACCTATCTAGATCTTGATATATTTCAGTTTTTTACAATCACTTTGCTACTATTTTCAGAACCTTGATGTCATTTTTCAAAACTCTAGACACAAAACTCAAAACGGTTATCACTTGTAACACAGGCTGTCTAATGTTCAAAACATTACATTGTGCATTCACATCTTTAAAGAAATCTTGCACTTCACAATCATTGGTTCAAAAAACAAATTTACTGTGAAATACCATTGAAACATAATCACCCACACACAAGCAACCGATAGTTTCGCTGTGTCATTGTTCGTACAATCATTAAATATTGTAGAACAAAATAGGTGATCCAGGTTATGGTTCTACATGTACAGTAAACACATCTCTGTATCTCTGGTACTGCAGTAGAGAGAATACATAGTGGAATCATTGAACAAAGTGTGTGATACATTGTTGCAAAACACTACAGTACAATCACAACATAGGTTTATTGGAATCAAAACTATAAAATCTTAGGCTACATAAATGGATATTGTTGTCTAATTGGTTCATGCTCCATGCAAATTGGTGACAATAAATCTCGTTACCTTAAAACTTTCATGATTTACTTTAAACATGGAAGATTGTGTGTCTATACAACTACATTACTGTAAGAGTAATGCAACAGTTACTTATCATTTTGAGCAGTTGTATCAATTGATAGTTATTGTAAGGAAATGAATAGACACTCATTTGAAATGTAATGTGTGAATTGCCTTTTGAAATAATAGTACTTTGATGTTAAGTTGTGTCATATTGATCTGGTGATTTTTTTGAATGAACAAATTATCTAGTGTTACCAATTTATTTTTGCGGTGGTTCTGCATTTTTAGATTACAGTTTTTTTCGATTGCTTAAGCACAATTTTAAAAACAGGGCCCGGTTTGTCAAAACACTACATCCAATTAACACAACCCTACAACAAAGTAGCACAACACTTCAGATCATTTGAGAAATGGTACACTTTTATCAAAACTATTCAACGTCTTATAAAAACCTTATTTTGCTGTCATAAAATGAACACAACCATCATATGGTTTGACTCTGTTTGAATCAGTTAAACACTCATATGCTCAACCTAAAACACCTAAAACACAAAATAAATTCACCAACACCACATGACACAAATTTTGCAGACTAATGAAAATATTTATTTCTTTTCATGTACTCAAGTCAGTCAATACTGAACATTTCAACAACAACAACAAAAAAAAAAAACATTTTCCATTTTTCATACAGTATTACATTGTACTGTAAGCTTACAGTAATACTGTAACAGATTACATATCCAGTTCAGTACTAAACATTTCTCCGCCAAGCTGGTTCTGGCCACAGGGCCTCGTAAACATCATATATTACTGTATGCTATATTTTCATTTGCAAGGCAACATGGGAGGAATCTTTTTGAGTGACGAATCCACTCTTGCATGGATGCTGCTTCAATTTGATCACATGCTTCCTTCATAGCTTGAATGAGGGGCATCTGAACATAGGGCCAGAGATCATAAACCTTCCACCGCCATGTTGAGAAGAACTCAACATAGTCCCTTACTGTAAGAAGAAGGGAGTATGGTGGAAAATACTGTAAATTGTGCGTATTGATGAAATGTGGGACTCATGCAGGACTTCCTCCGCATCCATTTGCAAAACTCTCTGAAATACAGCAAAAGATCACATTGTGTAGATCAATATACTGCAGGTCTGTATATAGTAAAAATTACATGTACAGTACGTAAAAAGGTTATGTGTGCAGTACACAATATAGTCAGTGAATAAAACGTACGACCACATATTCACGCCGCAGGACCTTGACCCTGTCTGAATTTGGTCTTCTTCTTTGTGTCTTCCTGATTGGTGTGTCTACAGTTAAGCACCAGTGTGTGTGCACACCTGGTGGCTGTGTTTAACCAATTGGTTCATGTGTGTGTTTATTTGAAAGCCGTTGCTTTAAAATTGCAAGGAAATTACATCATGATAAATTTCTGTGTCAAATGCATACAAGTGTGTTTAGTGTTTTGCAAATCACTGTGTGTAATGTTTTGCAAAAAGTGTGAAGCTGACAATGTGCTTACAGTTGTGCAAATCTAGGTCGGTGTTTTGCTCCTTGAGTGTAAGGTTTTGCTTATTGTGGGAAAGTTCTAATTTTAGTGTGTAAGCAATCGAAAAAAACTGTATTTTATTTTACAAATGATGAGAGAACAGTTTTTATAGTCTGTATGTATTCCTGTATATGTGTTTGTGTTGTGTTTGTGTGTGTGTGTGTGTGTGTGTGTGTGTGCGCACGTGTGTGAGCATGCAATTTTGGATTGTGTACGTTTTTTGCCTTGTTGGAAGTGTGCCACTTTATTTCTGTCATTTCTGTCTGTGTTCTGATTTTGATGATGAATTTTGTCTATTTTGAGTCCAATGATAAATAAATATTTATCTATATATTTATAGATATTTAAAAGATATCATAAATCCTCCAAAATCTGCACACATGTTGAGTAAAAACATTAATAAACAGTAAAATAATATTTGTAAAAAACAAACAAACAAACAAACAAAAAAAAACTATTGTTCTGTTACAAAATTAAATGTTATTTTTGGGGTCCAGACCCGAACACCACGAGTGTGACTATTTTTGTCACGCCTACATAAAAACAGATAACATTCCATTTTAATTTTTTTTGTTTTTTTTGTAGATCTAGAAAGTGTTGAGAGCTGTAGGAAGTTTCATACCATTTGGAAAAAGAGAACATTTAATTCAAGCAAAAGTCATTTGGGGTCCAGTGGACCCCGAAGACCATCAGGTGATTTTTGCCTTTATTGTGGATAGTATAGAGTGAAGGACTCATTGATAAATAAAAAGTTAAAAAAGCATTTAGTTAAAATAGAAATTATTTTTATCTTGCTGAATAAAAGTATACAGATTTTTTTTAACAAAAAAAGAAAGAAAGAAAAAAAAATGAAAAGAAAGTAAAATTACTGACCCCAAACTTTTGAATGATATGGTACAAGCAATTTATATTTTAAATAAATGCTGTGTTTTTAACCTTTTATTCATCAATCAAAGATTATACATATTACTGTAAAATAGAAAACCATTATTTTAAATTGTAGTGACTGTTTAAACTGTTTTTTTTTCTGTACCAAATTTGATCAAATAAATGCAGGCTTGATGAGCATTTTTATTCAAAAACATTAAAAACAGTTATGGCTGGCCTTTGTGTGAGTATAGCTTTTTGAAGTTAGAGCCTTTTTGAAGTTAGAGCCCCTGCCCCGAGGAACTCTCTGCACGTTGCAGCCAAACGCTTTTCTTGGATGTTTGTCATGATTTTTTTGGTTGCATTTACACTGTTTTAAACTGGCTTTAACCAGCAGGCGTTACCAGCGTGTGATATTCCCCTATCATGGATGTTCCTTCGAAAGTGAATCATTTTGCGCCAATTCAAAGCTTTGAAAAGCTTCGTTTCTCCCATCATGTAGAGGTCGCTACTACAATCACATACGCATTGAACAAGCAAGTATCACAACACACGAGTTACTGGTGAACATTTCGAAGGAAATAATGACAGCTGGCATTGATTTTTTATCAGCCTGTTATTTGCGATAATGATGATGAAGATGCGCTGCTGAAGCTGTGTAAAGCGTAAGATAAACAATATCACACATTTTATTAATATGTGATGCTAAGCGGTTAGCACGCTGGCTAAATTTCTTGTTTTTGGTTGTCGTCATATAAACCGTATTATATATTTATTATTTTTTCTAACATTTATTCTTCATCAATTTGATTAATGACAAGCTGAACAGTATTTTTTCAGTTGTGTCTGGTAATTAAATGATGATGATGCAGCAGCTCATGCTGATATTTATTGACTGCATGAAATTACAGTTTTAGTAGAAATATATTATTTATTTTTATCTAAATCAAAAGATTTAGAGAATGTCACCTGCTGTCATTTAGATCTCATCCTGCTGTCAATGCATAAAACATGAATCACATAAACTTAAACTAAGAGCTAAAAGTCATCATGTATTGGGAGATAAAAAAAAAAGAAAAAGAAAAAAAAGCTAAACATAAAGCGAGCAAGTGAGGCATTAACTTGTTATCAATATAGGCATAATATTCATACATTGTTTTGTTTGTACCAGTCTCAAGAATATTTGGAAGAATGAATTTGTTGATTTTTAGCTGTTTCAGCCTGGTTGATAGTTAAAGTATTGTTTCGTTTTTACTGTGCTTACATGTTATGGGATATGCTAACCGAAAGTCCTGTACACGTTATTGGTATTTAAATAAGTTTTTGTTTTTGTTACTGTTTTTTTTTTTTTTTTTTTTTTTTTTTACATTGATGTTAAAATGACATTGTCAGATTTGTGACATTACTTTTTATGTAATACTAAAACAGTGTTGTTCACTTTCAGAAGTTGTAGTGATGCTCTCTTTTCCCATAAAGAATGTGAAAAATGTATATTGGTTATATCATTTTCAGGTTTTAAATATATTTAAAGGTATTTTACACACTTAAAGCGTTATTGTATCGCACATTGCATTGTTTAACAAGTAAAAAAAAAATCTCTTCAATATCGTGCAGCCCTAATATAATATAACATATATATATGTGTGTGTGTGTGTATGTGTATGTGTGTGTGTGTGTGTGTCATCGTCATCAATCACCTATCCCATATAGAGATTGCACTGTCAGAGTGATTGGGAATGTTTAAACGTAATTTCTACACATGATATCAGAGTTTAAAAAAATCTATTTAGTGGACCTTCTCTCTTGATTTTAGTGCACACCCTCGGTATCATAAGCCCAAGCCTACATATATGTATTTCTCAAAGAGCAGAAAGTTTGTTCTTTACTAGAATCTAAAAAGAGAGTAAGATGTGACATCAAATGACTACAGAATTTTCATTTTTGTGTGAGCACCTTTAGGTAAATATTGTGACATTGATTATGTGTCTGTCTTCTTCAGATGTAACCAGTGTCATGGAATATAATGAAAGGCTTGCTCGCTTTCGTCAGGGTCTTGTCAACCCATTTGACAGGGGAGAGAACGACAGCAGCACTGAGGGGAAGAATCTTCCTAAACATGGTGTGTAAACTTTTACATTGAATATGCACTGCTCCTCTTCTGAAGGTATGACATTTCTTGTGTTGTGAATGGTATCATGTGAGTCACACAATGTACGCCCTTGTAGCCTACTACAGCAAAACACAATGGGCCTCATTTATCATTCTTGCGTAGAAACGACCGTATATGTTGGCGTAAGATTATGCTTACACTCCTCTCTCCGCCTGATTTATGAAGATGTGCGTACCTTTGAAATCCAGGTGTATGCAATGCCTTCCCTTGATAAATCCCGCGGCCGAAAACGATCGTCATTAGAATAACACGCCCCTAAATATTCAAGTCTCCGCTCCCCCCACGCCCTCATTTTACGGCATGGACACACGGAAGACGGCAAAGAAGAGAAACTTCTCCGACGTGGAGCCGAAATGAATCACAATGCATTATTTTACAGCATGTCTTTTGAATCAGCATTCAATTTCGAATCACGTCACATGTATGATGATGTGAAGTACCATTCATTTACATTAATAATTGCATGACAATTTGTAATATTCTTCTTCTTATTATTATTATTATTATTATTTTGTCAGTCTGAATTATTTTTTGGTCATTGAAAGCCTTTCATTAACCGAACCCAGTCCGTGCGCACCTGCCGGGGATAGGCTAATCCTGAAACATCAGGGTAAAGCGCACAGGCTCGCAACTGAAGGAATACATATGCTTACAAATCAAATGCTTTGGTAAAGTCACACAAATTAAACATTGAAGTCCACGTTGCACAAAAATAAACACTGAAGCTTATAATTACTATTTTGTTTCTTTGTTTGTTTGTTGTTGTTTTTTTTACAGTGGGTAATAATATATCATATCTTTTAGTTTGTCAGTGCGTTATGTGGTGTTAGGAATTTTTCTGCGCATTCCCGCACTAACTCAAAACGTGCGTACACCACCTCCTGAGCTGGTGTAGGATTTAAGCGTGCCGTACGGCAACGTCCATATTGATAAATCTCAAAGTCACCGTGGTTTTGGGTGTACGCAAGGTGTACGCTGGAAATTTGGTGTATGCACTTTGTGATTAATGAGGGCCAATGACACTGACTAGGTAAATAAATATAGCAAACAACATTTCCTTTTTCATCACACAAACAGACTTAGGGCCAAAATAAACCCAGGAGTCAAAATACACCCGGTGCAATACAATTTTTTGCTAGTTTCAGTCTGACACAGTTGTCATTTTCACATCCTGCGCCACGTTGTTTAAATAGCAAATGCATTTGTCCTCATTTGTGCGGCCATGGACATGCTGGTCTGAAAACGAGGTGTGTTCAGGCGCATTGTTGGCACGTTTCTATTTTAAAGGGGTGGTTTACTGCTTTTTCTCTTTGCATGATTGTGTTTATGGGGTGCAATATAAGATGTAATCGTTGTTTTTCCTTTTTAAAAAGTCTTATTTTTCATAAATTTCACCTTTATTGTAAGCCGCTTTCTCCTCTGTCATTTGAACAACTGGTTGACTTCATGAGTCTATGAAACCACTCACTCAGAAACAGGCAGTGGGCTCTGATTGATTAGTTTGGGCTGGTGTGTTGTGATTGGCTAAACTGTAGTGCTCGATGTCCGTAAGGTTCATGCCCATTACCTTTAGGGGTGAAGTTGCATGTGTTGTTCATGTCAAATGTACATAATGCACCTTCAATGAATGAACTATTTTAGAAAATTTTTCATTTATAGGGCACACCGGAGCGCATATAAGGCGCATAAGATACTGTTGTCAAACGTCTGACTGGGTTTGCGTTATGCATCCACTAGATGTGCTAAAGGGAATGTAGCGAGTGTGCGGCGCCGGAGGTGAGGCGTTTATTTAGTAAGCGTGAGCGCGCTGGGGCGGGCATAACTTACATTCACAGTCTGACTCATATGAGTATTCAATGTGCGGCGGCTCGCTGACAGCAACAGCTGGCTGTTTTGAATGAGACGACCTGGTACTGTGAACGGGGAGCGCTTTATGAACATTCTGTGATGCGCGAGCAGCGCCGAGGAAAGTGTGTCTGTTCGTGTGTCTGTAGAGTGAGCGCTCGTGAGCGGGAGACGCACAACCTGAGGAAGGATAAGGTTAAACTTGCCATGTGACAAAGCGGGCATAAGATGGACACGAGTGCGAGTTCGCGGGCGAATTTAATAACGTGTAGTTAACCAATTTAAATTCGTAGTTAACGAATTTAATAACGTTAACTAATTGATCCATATATAAGGCGCTCCGGATTATAAGGCGCACTGACGTTTTTTGAGAAAATTAAAGGCTTTTAACACTAGAAGTGCCAGAATTCCAAAACTACTAGAACGGCCACAAACGGTCATTTTGACCGTTAGATTCAAAACAGTGTTGATGAATAATTTTCGTAATTATTTTTGTCAACCATATTTTTTCAAAGACGAAAACGAGACGATAACTAAATAAAAACTAGGTTTGAATGACAAAAACTATGACGGAAATGTTAGATAGTGACGATTTGCGACGCGGTCAAGGCTATAATAATAGGACTCGCAGAACTGAACAGCCAATGCAGCAAAACAAACAGCGCAGGACAGGGTAGCAGAGCTCACCATCATCCGACATGAATGGAACATCTGGATCGGCCGTGTCTGATGAATAGCAGCCCTCTCTTTTCCTTGATGTGACTCTGAATCACTCTCTGATGAGGAGGAAATGTTAACTTGCACCCAGGAAACGTCGCTGTCACTTTCCACATCCGATTGTTCCCCTGCATCCGAATTATAGATAACTGTAGTCCGGTTTTATTTGCTTATTTCTGATCAACAACTAATGTAGAAATTATTATATAGCAAACACCGCTACAGAGGTGACCGGACGGACCATTCTGTTGACAGTTGAGAGAGAACACGATCAACCGCGGGATATTTAACAAAAAAATACCGCAAAATTCAGTGCGGTCAATATGACCGTCTATGGCCGAAATAGGTAAATAGGTTCATTTTTTTTGTTTTGCCTTACGTTTACGTAACTTAATTTATATGAAAAGCATTTTAAATGAAAATACAGACAATTTTAGGAAAAGTCAGGTACCAGCAGGATTTTATTATTTTTTTCAACAAAGTTATTATAGATATAAAATTCAAAACGGTCAAAATGACCGTTGTGGCCGTTCTAGTGTTAAGTGCGCCTTATAGTGCGGAAAATACGGTATCAGTCTCAAGCAACCCCCCTCTTCATATTCGACACGGTGCAATGAGAAAGGCGAAGCTTGAATTAACGGGTATGTCCCTCTTTGGCTAATGTGCTTTCAAGATGGAGGGGCATATTAGATGGAGGGGCTTTCAATGGCATATTATACACTCACGAGAATTATTTATTACTTGAACTTGAAAGTAAATATACATTAATGAGCACATATATTTTTGAAGTGTTTTTAGCTAAGAATAAACTAAAAAAGTTACACAGTGTAGCTTTAAAAGACGATATCTCTGCTTACATTGAACTTTCAGCACTGCAACTTTGCAGATACTGTTCATGCACCAACCAACAAAATTACACACTATTTGAAATGAAAAAAGTGAAATCGCCCTTTTATGGCAACTGAAACTGACTGTGGCACTGACCAACTGAAACCTGGTCTAAAGTCTATGGCACTTTTTTTATGTTTTGTTATTTAAAGAGCACCTTGGTAATGTGGGTGCAAAAAAACAACAATTTGTTTAACACAGAATATTTTTTCACTACGTATGGGCCACAAGAGAAATATTAAGAACATAAATTAAGAAAGTTATTATCAGCATAAGGCAGTTATGTATCGTTATCAGCATATGTTGAAGTAGATTAATCTCTATATGCGCCGTTAATGCAGCGTCAGATGCCAGTTATTTTTTTCGTGTGTTGGTAGTCAAACTTCAGAACTGACCTCTTCATATGGGGAAATGTAAACGACACTTACTGTACTTAGGAAACATACACTAATAATAAACGGAGCAATTCCAATAGTCCTCTCACCATCGGTGCTCGGGCTCTAATGACACGAATACCAGAATGCAAAGCTGAAAAGGCAGAGGTGAATGAACAGTGCCGAACCAGTCTTGTCATATTTAAATTCTCTGCTGTAATGTGATCTCATGTCTAATAGAACTGGTAAGTCCCGCCCCTTCAGCTAACCCCGCTGGACCTCTAGATTGAAAAATCGTCAATGCAAGTGAATGAGAGAAAATAATTATTTTCTAATCCCATTTGAATTTTGCAATGAATGTAACATATGTTGTCTGTGATTTTTTTATATAATGTTTCGTGTAAAGAATGCTACAATTTAGCGGGTAGAATTTTCATGCGGTTAGACTTTGTGTGAGAGCACTTTGTGGACTACAACTCTTTCGACGTGTTTGATATACATCACCCCCACTAGCACACGGATCCCGCTAAACATGCCTGTGTCTTTGGTGCACTTCACCGCCTTCTTTCAGGGAGAGGACAAACTAGTTGAGCGTGGTGAAAACCGTGATTTGTGGAGGGAAAATGTGTTATGCGGCGACGTCACATATGCAACGTGTAGTCTTTCTCGTTATGTCTATTCCACAACTGCTATCCAAAGAATCATACAATATACTGTCAAACTCGTTACATGAGAAATTATATAAAAAATTCACAGACAACATGCGTCACATTCATGGCACAATTCAAATGGGATCAGAAAATAATTATTTTCTCTCATTCACTTGCATTGATGCTTTTTCAACCTAGAGGTCCACTTGGAGTTTTACGGATGGGCGGGACTTACCAGCTCTATACAGTGCAGTGATCATAATACAGAAAAACTGATGATGTCACCAGCTAATCACCAAGTAATGCATATAGATCTCTTTTAATGATGTTGTTTCAACTTTGCTTTTTAACCAGTTAAGCCCTGAAGCAGGGCCGGAGTGGGGCCACTTTTGAGCCCGGGAGTTTTAGGCCCAAGACCCGGCCCACTTTTTCCATGGTGGTGGAAATTGGATAAATGAAGCAACAGTTCAGCTCT